CAGACACTTGCATTCTTCTGGTCACACATTGGCCCAGGAAACAGGGAACCTGTGGGGGTCTCTCAGTCAGCCTTGGCCCCGTCAGGCTCCAAGGTTCCCTTTTAAGGGCCCGTCATTAGCTCGAGCAGCCAGGTCTCAAGATACCCAGGTCACTTCCTAGCAGACCGATGACTGTGTGGCCAGAACATCTTTGTCATCTGAGTGGGCAAGGAAAACAAGGAAAGAAGCAAAAAGGATACCAGTCACGTGGGAAACACTGACATGGGTGGGTGCCAGGGTCCACTGGGCGGAACAGGTGTGGCCATGGCTTGGTGTCTGATCTGTGGGCAAGCGCCCATCCCGTGCCTCCTGTGGTAAAGCCAAGCATTTGATTCCTTTTCTCTCGTGAATACTGCAGCTCTGGACACAGGTCCACATGTAGGTGAACGAAGGGGCCTTTGAAAGTGAGAAGGGGGAGAAGGCTGATGCCTTTGCCACTGGGGTGGGTGTGGGAGGCTGCTGGCTGCATTTGACCCTGCCCCGCTCAGATGTCAGCAGAGAACAACGCGCAATGTGTGGCAGGTGTGTGTCTGTGGGCCTGTGGGGAGTCTAGTGTGTGCGTGCAGCATATGTGCGTGTGTGTGGCACACCTGTGTGTCTGGCCCTGTGCCAGCATTATTTTGAAAAGAAGACAGTGTGGAGGGATGAGTGAGAAAGTTCCTGGAGAACTCTCTGGAACCCACAAGACTTTGGGCTGCCGTGTGCCTGCTTTCTTACTTTGGTGGCTCATTCCTTATGCTCTGGCCTGGTCCATGGCACCCTGGCACTGGCCATGGGGCACAGAACTCGTTAGGGAGCCTGTCCTCTCCTTTCCACCTTTCCTCCCCAGCTCAGCAGGCCTGGGGTGCTGCTTCTGTCTGGGGGAATGGAGTGGAGGCAGGGTCAGCTGAAGACCGGCTGGCAGAGGACGAGTGGCTGTTGGTCAACCCATGGGCAGGATGAGCATTTGGAAGTGAGGCCTGCAGCTGGCTTCTGGGATGCAGCCATGGAGGAGGAGCTTCCCAGGAGTCAGAAGCCCAGAGGTGGGTCGGGACTCTGTCCCAGCCTGAGGGGGACAGGAAGAGCGGGAAGTGAGTTCTGTGCAGCATCCTCACTGCTCACTGCTGTCTACACTACAGCAGAGGACCTGAGCAGCAGGGCGGGGACCCTTGGGGAAGCTGCTTATGGGGAATTCAGCCCCCTCACCCCCCAGTGGGCACAGAGGGCAAGCTGCAAAGAGGGAAGAGGCATTCCGTTTCTGGGACATTTTCCTGCCATTGATTAGGATTTGTTTGAAAAGAATATTTTGGAACAATTTGTCTGGGAAGGATTAACTGAATCCTTTGCCCTCCTGAGGCGGCTTGCAGGCTGAAGGGCCCAGCTGTAGCAAACTGGGGTGAGGAGAGAAGGGGCACCCGGAGGGGAAACATTCAGATGTGAACAGGTGGATTCCTCCGATCGGCAGCACACTTACAGGCTGAGAGCGAGTATGGAATCGCGTGTGCGTGGGGGTGTGTGTGCAGAAGCACCTTCTGGAAGGGAAAGTGCTGCCCTGTGGCGTGGTGCTTGCTGCCGTATCTGGGTCTGGTCCTGGCATCCAGCGTGGGAGGCCAGTGCCCCCTCCCTCGGACCTGGCTGCCAGATCACAGCCCACGGCTCATGCTCTGGGCGCTTTTTGCTCATTTTCATGTTAGGACCCTCGTGGCCTTCCACGGAAGTCACATTGCTCAGAAAGAAAAAACAAACTATTGTGATTTACTTGATTTAAAAATGATTTTTGTGAAGACTACATCTGCAAATGGACAAGAATAATTCAGATAAAGAGAAACATGAACTTTTCTTAGGGGATAGACCTGAGGATGATTTCGGACTTGGATTCTCATTTTAATCTCATGTCTTTTTTTTTGTAAAATAACATTATGAAAATAAAAATAACTTTTTCATGATAGAGAAATAGTTTTCATTAGGTAGAGTGAGACAGAAAGGGAGACGCCCCTATTACAGCTTCTATGCATTGGACGTAATGCTGTTTTTGGAAAGCCGATCGGGAGAAGCCGCCACCCCACCATGGCGCCCTGTATTTGGTGGGTGGGTAGGTGGGTTTCCTGCTGGCCGAGCTCTCATCCTCAGGTCCAGGGCAGCCTCTGCCTTCAGAACAGACGAGCTTTGAGCAGTGAACTAAAATGGCGTCCACGTCCCTGGTGACACTTCTGAGTGCTGGGCAGCTGAAGTGTCATCCAGAGAGGAAGACTGAGTGAATGGGCTCATTTTGGGGTTGTTGAGGAACTCTTTCTTCAACAGCTCCCAGCAGGCTCAGGCCCTGCTCAGCCACCACAGGCCAGGCGGTGCACACTGAGCTGCCAGGAAGTAGACGCCTCGCTCATGCTCCCTATGGACTCATTCTGGTGGATGGGATGAGTGTGCTTTTAAAATCCTATCTGCATCATTATTTATTGAAGAGGAAGGGAACGATTTATCCTCTCCCCCAAATGCATGGCTGTGGATATTGTAGGCAAGATGCCATGACTTGGGGAGGCGGGAGGACCACCTGGGATGGGCGGGGAAAGCATACCAGAAGTAGGCAGGGAGGAGGAAAAGGAGGTTGTTTAACCGCACAGGTCAGCCCACACATGAGCCCCTCTTGTCACGTTGGAGAGGGGCTCTTTCATTTTAAGGTTGCTCATAAATCAAGACTTACCTGCAGACTGTAACTAATGCTTCGTTTGGTTGGAGACCATTTCTTGATTGGGAGATTATTGGATGGAGAGGCAAGATGGAGTGCGTGTGTGTGTGTGTGTGTGTGTGTGTGCACGTGCGCATGCGTGCAGATTTGCAAGTATGGGTTTTCTCGTGTGAGTGGGAGACACAGTCTATGGCTTCCTTTTATAAGGACTTGGAATCTACTCTTATAGAGAAGAAAACCACAAATGGCTCAGAAAAGAAAAAAGATTAAAAACACCAAAGGGACAAATAATGGTGGTATCAGTTTGCTAGTTTTCACAGTTGACTGTGAAAACAAAATACCACAGGGCTGGGGAGCTGAAACACCAAATCTACTTTCTCGGGGTCCTGGAGTCTGGAAATCCAAGAGCAAGGTATCTGCAGGGTTGGTGTCTCCCCAGTCCTCTCTTCTTGGCTTGCAAATGGCCCTCTTGTGGGTGTGTCCTCACATGGTCACCCCTCCCTCTCTGTGTCTGTGTCCTAATCTTGTCTTCTTATAAGGATAACAGTCACATTGGATTGGGGCCCCTCATATGATTTCATTTTACCTTCCTTCTCTAAACTTCATATCTCCCAATATAGTCGCATTTTGGGGTACTGGGGGTTAGAATTTCAAGATAGGACTTTCACAGAGATACAGTGCAACCCATAACAATGATCGTGAACCTGTGAATTTACAGCAGAATCACAGATGTGGGAATGGGTGTGGCACCTGGCCGGAGTTAGACGCCTGCAGGATGGTTCCACGGCTCTCTCCTCCATCCCCTCTGCAGGGTGATTCTTACCCTGGGAAGTCACATGGTCTGATTTTGGATAGAGCTCAGATTCTGCATGGATCTGTGAGGTTCTGTGTGGAGCTGATTTCCCATGTTTTTGGAGATCCTCTCATGGAATTGTTGCTGATTGCTCTTTCAGCAGAGTCTGGGTGATGAGCTGCCAGCTGAGGATGAACTTCTTTGGGCCTTTAGATCCCCATGGGCATTTTGTTTTTTTTTTGAGAAAGAGGCTTACTGTGTTGCCTAGGCTGGAGTACAGTGATGCAATGTCTGTTCATTGCAACCTCCGTCTCCCAGGTTCAGGTGATTCTCCTGCTTCAGCTTCCTGAGTGGCTGGGATTACAGGCATATGCCACCATGTCTGGCTCATTTTTGTATTTTTAGTAGAGATGGGGTTTCATCATGTTGGCCAGGCTGGTCTTGAACTCCTGACCTCAAGTGAGCCGCCTGCCTTGGCCTCCCAAAATGCTGGCATTACAGATGTGAGCCACCATGCCTGGCTCCCATGGGCATTTTTGACCCCTTCACAAGGTGAGAGGGGACCAGATGTCCTGGTTGTTCCAATGAGGAGGACCCTGAAAGGGACACTGGTGGCTGTCCATAGCTGAGACAGTTAGAGGCAGTGCCCAGGCCTCTGGATTCTTTCCCCATTTCTTGTCACAGCTCCAGGATCCCACAGTGCCACTCCTGGCTATTCTGAGAGCATATCAGTCACACCATTGTGGCACCTGATAGGCAGGGAGGCTGCTGAGGAGTGCGGTGCAGAGAGGCTGCCTCTCAGGAGCTGTTCCCTTTCTGTTCTGTCTGCCGCCCCCTCCCACTGACTCTCGACACCTTCTCCATGTGTCTGGTTGCTACCTGGCTAGCTGTCTGGCTCACGGACTCCCCGTGCAGTTAGGAGTGTGCACCAGTAACCCTGCAGCACCGTGCATGGCAGCCCTGGCCCCATCCCGCCGAATGCAGGCAGAGCTTATGACGCAGCTCTGTGCTGGCACTCCCTAGCGAACTGGTAGGCACATAGGGAGCTTTATTTATATACGCGTGTTGAATAAATGAATAAATAAATGTTAATGTGGAATTCTGGATGTGGAAGAAGCCCCACGCTCCTTTCTCCTGACAGCTGTGGAAAGTGCCCCACCGTCCCTGGCTGCATCTCTTTGAATGCTCGCAGGGCTGAGGTGCTGACTCACAAGATAGCAATGTCCCTCCTGGGAAATGCTGAGAGTTCAAACGTTATTATTATTTTTTTATGGCAGCTACATGTGGCTCCCTCTCACATTTGCCACATGGTCTTAGTCATGGACAGAACCTTGGGGATCTCTCTTTCAGGGCTTCTTGAAGGGGAGGAATATGCCTGCTGCGTAGGGGTGAGTAGAGCAGAGAAATTGAAGATCATTTGAAAAAGCCTATGCACTACTATGTATTTTGAAATTTAGGAAATCAGTTCAAAACCCCTATTCTCTTCTTTCTTTTTTTTTGCCACAGGGTCTTGCTCTGTTGCTGAGGCTGGCGTGCAGTAGTGTGATCACGGCTCCCTGCAGTCTCGACCTCCTGGGCTTAAGCGATCCTCATCTCAGTCTCCTGAGTAGCTACAGGTGAGCACCACTGAACCCAGCTCTATTATTTCCATAATAAAAACTACTGACAATAAAGGAAGAGTAATGACAAAGGGTGGGGGATGAGATGATGATCAAGTCAGGCTTCTCAAAGTCCACCTGGTTACATCGCGTGGAGGTTTGAACCACGTGAATGTATCACCTGTTCAGAGCAAAAACTAAATAAAATGTTAAAATCAAAAGCAGGAAGAACAAAAAAAGATAAAATTGTGCTAGGTAAGGATAAGACGTAACGACACCAACAGCACCACATGCCATTCCCCACCAGACATCAGAGAAATTGCACCAAAAGAGGGTGTGTTTTAACGAAACTTAACAAACACTCAGGTAATCCGGCTGCTCTGTTTGGAAGGAGGAAGGGAAGCCACGAGGTAAAGTGCCACGTCCAGTTGCCATTAAGTCAGCTCAATCTCTCCCCGGCTCGGAAGCTTGGGTGGTAGATGAATTGGGTAGAAAGCGTTCTGGCCTCAATATTAAGTTAGTGATGTTGACCTCTCCGTTTGGACTTTTATGAGTTACTAACTTGGAGCTCACATGAGCACAGCTGCCTGCTCTGCAGCTATTGACGGTAACATTTAAAACATTTCATTCTCTGAAACTTAGCTCACTTAAAAACAACAGCAACACAACACAATACAACTTACTATATTGTGAATACATCAAAAGGACCTCAACTTCACTGCTTCATAAATGCAAATCGGAAGAAGATGCCATTTTTCACTGATTGTATTGACAAAGGTGAACAAGTTTGACCACCTGCAGTGATGACTCAGGTGTGGTGGAACGGGGCTCTCAGCACTGCTGGGGGCAGTAGAAACTGGACCAGAGTTTACATTGGTGGCAATTGCACCTTACATTTCAACATCGTAAGTGCATGTAACTTGAGACCTCCAATTCCACTTGTAGGAATTTGCCCCTCAGATACCCTGTGGCGGTATGAACACGGACGCTCACTGTGGCAAGATCTGTAATGGCCATAAAGTAGAAGCTGGGGAGATAAGCTATGATGCATCCATACAATGAAATCTTGTACTGATGTCTGAATGGAACAGATTTTATGGGAAAAGCAGGCCAATTTATGTTATGAAATTAAAACAACAATGCAAAACTAGCGACGATGTACAGGTTTTTTTTTTAAAAACGATATTTGCATGTGTTTGTGTAGATGGGAAATTTCTGGGTGGATGTATTGACAATGGACCCCTCTGGAGAGTGAATGGGGGCATGAAATGAGGAGGAAGCTAACCTGGATTGTATAAACCTTTGTAGTGATTGAATTCAGTCACTATGGACATGTGACTTGTTTTTATTTATTTCTTACTTATTTATTTTTTTTTGAGAGAGAGTCTTGCTCCATCACCCAGCCTGGAGTGCTCACCGCAACCTCCACACCCTGGGTTCAAGTGATTCTCGTGCCTTAGCCTCCTGAGTAGCTGAAATTACAGGTGCATGCCACCATGTCCAGTCTCTATTTTTAGTAGAGGTGGGGTTTTGTCATGTTGGCCAGGCTGGTCTTGAACTCCTGACCTCAGGTTATCTACCTGCCTCTGCCTCCCAAAGTGCTGGGATTACAGGCATGACCCACCATGCCTGGCCAAGTTTTATTTTTTAAAGGCAACTTTTCCCTCCAACAGAAACCTAACCCCCGATAGGCCATCGTGAAAATCAAATTGGATAACTCGATTCAATTCGATCAATTTTTATTCAGTGCTGATTATGTTTCGGCCACTAGCTAATGCATATAAAACTGCTTCACAAACTGTTAACCACCAAAAACACTGAGAGCAAAGCATTTATTTGAGATAGGACAGCCAATTAACCAGATATTTACAAGAGCCAGCTTCCATTTCTAAGACGGAGCCCTCCCAAACAGCAAGATTCATTGCAAAGGAGAAGCCATTGTTATTTTATTAAGGTGCTAGATTTCAACAATACAGAATCATCCTATAACCTGAACAAGCAGATACATACAACTCCCCCCAAATCCTTCCAGAAAGCCAGAAAGAGGTATGAAGATAGGAACTATGGCTTTCAGGATAGATTACTATGTATCACAAGACCTGTGATCGTATATTACGTCTTGTCTCCTCTCTCTCTCTTTTACATATATATATTATATATTATATAATATATATAATATTATAAAATATATTATATATAATATAATATAAAATATATATAATATATTATATATATAATATATACTATATATAACATATATTAGATAATATATACCATATATAATATATACTATATATAACATATATTAGATAATATATACCATATATAATATATACTATATATAACATATATTAGATAATATATACCATATATAATATATACTATATATAACATATATTATATAATATATGTTATATATACCATATATTATATATAATATATATTATAATTATATATATCTTTTACATATATATGTAAAATAGAGGAGACAAGATGTAATATATATATTATATATATATACACACATACACATATATGTTTATGATATTTGCACATGAGATATATATATGTATAGATATTCATACACACACAAACACACACACACACACACACACACACACACACACACACAGGGTTTATACGACTTTAGTTCTCTTACTCATCCTTGCTGTGAGTTTTTGGCTTGCAGATGTTGTAGGATGTCATAATATTCAGCTATTCCATTAAACAGTGTTTGCTTTGAGTGCCCAGCCCCTCTGACTGCAGTCCTCCAAAGGTAACAATGCCTCTGATGTCCCCTGGTGCCCTGGCAGTGCGCTGGTGTTATCAGGTGAGACTGTTTAGCTGAGATTTTTACGGTACCCACCTGACCGGACAGCTCTGTCTAAACTTCTTGAGTTGTAGGAAACGGGCTGCAGGTGTATCCTGATGCTCCCACGAGGCTGTGGCTGGTGCATATTTCAAAATCATCTCCCAGAGCAATGTGAATCAATAGTTAATGAGCCATCTATTCTCATCCTCCAGTGACTGTTGTTATAAGGTGGGAAAGGATGTGGCTTCTTAAAATGAAGAGGCATCACAGCCCTTTGGTATCTCACACCATCAACCTTCCTTCCCCTCCTGTCTGAGCAGCAGCGTGGTCAGGATGATGTGTAGCTTGGAGGAGGGAATGTAAGGGCTGCCCTGGGGCAGGGAGGGTGATGGAGATCGGTCTCACGGGCAGTGCCCTCTTTGGAGAGAGACCTTGGTCTCTACTTAGCGATGGTAAGATGGTCCGGGCAGCCGCCCTTTGCCTTAGTTTTCCCATCAGTGAAATGTGAACGATGTCAGTGAGGCAGGGACCAGACTTCGAGAGAGTGGAATGAGGGCGCAGAAGCCGGGGCAGGCATGCACATTCTTCGGCCTCTCTCCTGGAGTCACTGTTTCCGTGGCAAATTGTTCTGGCCGAACCGTTTTGGAGGCTTTTGACCTTCCAAGGGCCTGTGGGACTTGACGGGGCTGTGGAGAAGCCAGTGGGGTCAGTGTGGACCTGAGTGGAGGAGGCCCAGTTGGGCTTCAAGAGCAGTGGCATGGGGTTTCACTAGGTGGCCCAGAACTAGGTTCAAAGTGGGCCTGGCCGTTTACTAGGTTCCCAACTGCCTCACTGGACCCTGGTTTCCCAATCTGTAAAATGGGGACGACTTTACGCCACAGCATAAAGCCTTCAGCTGGTGTTCACCACTGAGACAGACACTGGATATGCAGACTAGAGCTTGGGACCCAGAAACAAGGGCTGCAGAGGTGGCGCTCGGGCCTGAAGCGCTGCATAGGTGAGGGGCGAGAGGGCCTGGGGGGCTTCACCTTTGTGCCTGGTCCCTTAAGCACTGAGTTTTCAGGTAAAGCTTTAGGCACAGCTCTGTGGCCCTGACGTTTGGGGGTCCCTGGTATGGAGGGAGGACTGGTAGCTCATGCCGCATGTCACTGTGAGCCAGCCAGGAGGCTGTTGGAAGATGGCTGAGGGAGAGGATGAGTTGGAGACTGGGGCCAGCCCTGGTCTGAGAGCTACTGCTGAAGGAGATCCGACTGCTTTGCAGAGTGGAAGAAGGACCTAGCTGCCATTTTGTGCCATCAGGACAGGAGGATGGGGTGCCTGTGCTGCAGAGGTGGCCATAGGTGACATCCCATCTGGCATCTTTCTAAGATGCAGAGCCGCAGGGAGAAGTGGGCCTCCACATGGGTGAAAGGTCTTCTCCCCTGCAGGCTGCGAGGAGGGAGGGAAGGAGCTTGGAGGGCCGCCCCCTTGGCTGCCTGGAGCTCCCCTGCTCTGGGGCCCTTGGCTCCATGAGTGAAGCCCAGAGCAACCTGTACACTCAAAGCCTGAGGGTCAGATCTGAGCTCGGATACGCCCCTTTGCACCTCAGCCTGAAGCCTCCTGCTGGCTGGAGAGCGGGGAGGAGAGACCAGGGAGCTGAGGGAGCCTTGGGCTCCAACTCCAAGTCCCGCTTTAGAATTGTGCAGCTTGCCCAGCAGATGTGAAGCTCGAGAGGTACTCCCAGACCTCATTTTCCTCCCTTTAAAGCAAATGTGTGTGGCCTGGGAATGTGTTTGACCTCCCAACCTCCCAAACTCCAGTTTCTGGGTTTGCTACAAACCTATCCCCAGCGTGGGGCTGTTTTCAGATTTGAAGGTGAGCCGTCTTGACCTAGTTCACACCTTGTCTTGGTTTGACATGAGCTTTTCTGGCTCCTGACTCCTGACCTGACCGCAGAACCCCCTCGCTGCCCGGTGAGGCCGGCGCAGGCCATCTCTGCCAGCGCTTGTACCTAGCCATCACCCTATTTTTTGGCCCCACGGGCATCCCCGTGGCTCCAGCCACTCCCCGGCTCTGAGCCTCTGCAGCCCTCCCTTTGGGTGGCTGCCGTGAGAACTAACTGAATCAACCCCTCCCCTATGGCTTTGAATCCACTGATCCATCTCCTGGCTCCAGGTCCCTGTTTTGCCTGCTGGACTGGTTTGGGGACCTCTTTGGCTCCCCCAGA